GGAACTCGGCAGAAATTCCTACTCGGCGGGAGGGGTGGGGCGGGCAAGGTGGAGTGGTGGGGGGCGGCCCGAGGGGGGGGGAGAGGGTCCTGCCCACACTGCGCCTGGGCTGGGACTGGTCCCGCGGCGCAGGGTAGCAGGAAGCTCTCCACACACTCACTGGACCTGGGCTAGGACTGGGTCTGGGGGCTCCCGGAAGTCGGCCAGCTGTGGGCTTTTCTACATGCCCATTACTAGGTTGAAAAAGTTTTCTATTCCTAATTTGTTTGTTTTTGTCATGAAAGAGTGTTAGATTTTTTTGTCAAGTATTTTCCCCAAAATAAATTAAAAAATGGCTTTTTTCTTTTTGTTTTTATCTGCAGAAATTGACTTGCATACCAAATGTGTGGTGGATGTTGATGCAAACAAGGTCATTCTTAATCCTGTAAATACGAATCTTTCCAAAGGAGATGCCAGGTAAGTTAAGAAACAGTGTTACAGTCAATGGAATTTCATTTATTTATTTATTTATTTTTTTCTACTTTCTTTTTTGGTACCAGGAACCAAACTCAGGGCCTTGTGTTTGTCAGGCAGGCGCTGCGCTGTGAACTACATCCCTGGGCCCTCAATGGATTTTAAAATAACTGAAAGCAGAAGTGTTTACTGAGTTGAGTTTACTGGAACACATGTGAATGGTTGTAGAGACTTTGCTGCCTTTTCTGCCTTTCAGAGTTGGGACTCAGGTGGAAAGGCTGAGCTCTGCACTGCAGTGAAAGTGCTAGAGGGAGTGATAAGAGACAGACAGTAATTGTGATAGGGGCCCAGAGAAGAGAGTTGCTTCTGAGTTAACTGGGGAAGGCTTCTTCAACCATGTGGTGCTGGCTGAGGGATAGGTAAGATGTGCACTGAAAGAGGAGGTAAAAGGGAAGGCTGTCAGGTAAGTCTTTCACAAAGAGGGTTTGTCTGTTTGCAGGTTTAAATCCTATACTCCTAGAGGGTCACTCAGAGCCCATTTCTAGTGCTGTGTCTTTGGAAGGCTTCTGCCAGCCATCAGTGATTCTTGTCCTCAAAATACCTGTCAGCTATTATGGTGCTGCTTACTGAACTTAATGGTTAAGGCTGAGACTGACACATGGCATCCTGTAGCTACTCTTTTGAATTGAATTGAAAAGAGCACTGGATTTGGAGTCAGAAAATCTGAGTCAAATTCTTCCTTCACTCAGTTACTATAGCTAGTTATTTTCAGCTTTTTGAACATTATTTGTATGATGCCTGCCTTCTTTATCTCACAGGAGATTTCTCTCCAAGGATCAAATCAATTAGTATCAGTAAGTTGCCAGACTGGGCTCGAATTTGTGATCCTCCTGCCTCTGCCTCCTAGAGTGACAGGATTACAGGTGTGTGCCACTGTGCCTAGTTCAAATATTTCTTTATTGCCTCCAGTTATAAAAAGACAGTTACAAGGACTATGGAATATGTTGATACTAGTGAAGGTTGTAGTTATGGCAGAAATGATGCTGTGGTTTTGAATCCACCAATGGCATGAACTGTTGCTCTGGATAGCTTTACTTTCAGGAGCTGTTTGTTGCTCTCAGACTTTCTTTTCTTAAAAATATGTATTTGGTTGTTGCACGGTCTCACTATGCAGCTCGGCCTCATGGTGATCCTCCTGCTATCAACCTCCCCAGAGCTGGTATTACAGGCATGCACTATTATGCTCCAGACTCTGTGGCTGGCTCAGCCCACCCTGGGGGTGGGGCTGGCACCACATGTGGTACTAGGGATTGAACTGCAGTCCCCATACTTGCCTGAGCTTGCCTAAGTAGGTGATGTAGTCTGCTGAGCTACCAGGGGGCGGGCTGGCTGGCATGTGGTGCTGGGGGATTGAACCGTGGTCCCTGGGCTTATGCTAAGCTTGTTCTAAGTAGGTGCTTCAGACCACCGAGCCATCTCACCAGCCCTGCTCCCAGACTTTCATGGTGGAGACTTCTGCTTTATTTGGGAATGTGGGTACCTCTGCATAAATCTGGATACAGTAACTTAAGGCAGCAAGAGTGTGAGATTTATGTGTCAGCTGACAAGGAGCCTAGTTCTGGCTTTGTCCTTTGCTGACCTAGTTACCTATCTGTACTTCTTATTTATAACATGGTCTCTTATCTGTTGCCGTCTAACAGATTACTTAAAAGTATAGTGGTTTAAAACAGTGATAGTCATTTCTTGGCTCCTGGTTCCTGTGGGTTAGGAGTCTAGTCAAGGGATAGCATGCCCTGCCCTCTGTACCAAGGGGGGCTCAGTTGGCAGACTTGAAGGTTGGGGTTGACCTCATCTGAAGAAGGCCTGGTTGTTGTACCTTCCTCTTGATTTGAGGCATCTCCAGGGACTGCCTGTGGACATCTTCTCACAGGCTGATGGCAGTATCCTAGGCCAGTATCCCAAGGGAGACCAAGCTGGGGGAGGCTCTTTTGCCTGTGTGTCGACCTGGGAGTCATACCTGTCACTTCTGTCACATTTTCTTGTTCAAGGCTAGTATGAAACTCTGTGTGACTTAGAGAAAAGGAAACATTTCACAATAGCGGAAAAGTGTCCTTGTGAGAAAGCATTTGATGTGGGATAAGCACAGTGACCACCTTTGGAAAACAGTCTGTTGTGAGTGTATAAACTACCTTGCTGTTAAGTTCTCGCGAAGACAAGATGGTCCAATGGAAGCTAAAAAAGATGTTTTCTTTCCCTTTGAGATCTTTAAATCCTGGGGATTTTTGGAACAATATGTAGCACTTTTTGGTTCCATAGAAAAACCTTAGATGATATTTTTTCCTCATATACTGAGAATGCAAATCCAGTATTTCTTAGGGCTTTTTTTTTGTGGCAGTACCAGGGATTGAACTCAGGACCCTGCACTTGCCAGGCAGACACTTATTCTACTGAGCTATCTCCGAGGCCCTCTCAGTGCTATTGATTTCTTTTCTGACTAAAGAAAAACACTTTTAAAGAAGACAACATCCAAGAAAGATAATATGTATGTAATGGTTTTTCCTGAAGTAGAATTAAGAAAAATGGCTTTTAAAGAATTTTTTATTGAAGTGTATGTAATACACAAAATAATGTATAATTAGTTTTTCTAAACTTTACTTCTATAATTGATGCCCAGGAAAAGAGATAGACTACTACTAGGATGGCAAAAGCTTACTTCCTGAAAAGAGCTTTTTTCTTTATTTCATAGAAATTTTGTAATGTAGCAATTCAGTGCATATGTTGACTTAATTCAGTTTGAGGAAGAATAGGAAGGAAATCACAAATGCATAAGTTTTTGTTAATGATATAAGATCAGTTATCACCTAACTTAATACATTCTAATCCATAAAACAAATTGTGTTATTATGAATGCTAAATTTATAACTAGAGAGGTAAAAGTTTTGAAGTTAACATAAAAGTGATTTGAATCTATTTAGTTAAAAATGTATATATTTATATATAGTACAGGGTCTACAGGGTCTCACTACACAGATCAGACTCATAGTGATCCTCCTGTTTTTAGCCCCCCAGCATAGGGATTACAGGCGCATGCCACCATGCCCAGTCTTGAATCTATTTATTTATTTATTTTTTAAAAATTTTATTTATTTTTAAATTTATTTATTTATTTATTTGTGTGTGTGTGTGTGTGTGTGTGGCCAGCTCAGCCCACCAGGGGGCGGGCTGGCTGGCATGTGGTGCTGGGGGATTGAACCGTGGTCCCTGCGCTTTGCTAAGCTTGTTCTAAGTAGGTGCTTTAGACCACTGAGCCATCTCACCAGCCCCTGAATCTATTTAAATTATTAGGCAAACTCAACTTAATGTGTTTTCTTTAAAAACCTATAGTATCCTTTAAAAACTTTATCTGTGATTTTATGGTACTATCCAATTAATGTAAAAAACTGATTTATTTTATACATATTCTTTGCAACTCAAATTATGCTTTGAAAAATGAGCATATTAAATTTTATTTTATTTTACTTTTACTTTACTTTTTATGTCATTTTGAGACAGGCTCTTGCTGTACAGTTCAGGCTGGCCTTGAACTCACTTTGTTGTCTATGCTAGTCTTGAACTCACAACTATCCTCTTGCCTTAACCTCCAGAGTGCTGGGATTACAGACATGTGCCATCAGGCCCGGCTAAATTTTAAAATACTGCTTTACATTTTTTCTGAGTTTTGCCTGAGCTTCTGAAAATTTTATGATGATTTGATATTTATGAATACTAGGGGAACCATAATTAATAGGTAAGCCATTTCCAGTGTTGCCACTTACTCATGGAGATCTAGGAGATGTTTTCCTATATTGATTGTGGAATTTCAAAACTTGAAAAATAAGACATTTTATTTATTTTTTTAATCTTTTATTTTTATTTATTTGGTGCGGGGTCTCGCTATGCAGCTTGAACTTATAGTGATCCCCATCTCAGCCTTCCCAGTGCTGGGATTACAGGTGTACGCCACTGCTCCCGGTTTCAGTGACTGGCATGGCATGTGGTACCAGGGATCAAACCTGGGTCATTGCAGTTGCCAGGCAGGTGCTCAGATCGCTGAGCTATCCTCTCGACCTGAAAGACAAGACTTTTTAAACTGAGAAAATTAGAGCCAGGAGTGGTGGAGCAAATCCTCCCCCCGCAAGAAAACCCGTATACATATCTGTCCGTCCCTCCGTCCATCCACCTATCCATCCATAATGAGATAGTGGGGATACCAACAAGAGATTAAGAACACTGATTTTGAGGCTGCATTGTGGATTGAATTTCATCCCCTCCACTTAATGTGTGACCTCTGGTAAGTTGCCCTCCTCTGCCTCACTTCACTCATTTGTAGAGTTTATAGTAGTTACTCTTAGTATTTACAGTTGTTGCTTTGATAGCCTATATCTGTTGTAGCCTAGGCTGTCTTCAGTGAGCTATATATAATAGAACCTAATAATGTAGTAAATTTTGTAAAAATCAAAACATAGTACTTGAGTATTCATGCCTATGCAGAAATTACCTGGTTCTAGAAAAAATATATATTTTAATGTTATTTTATTGAGTTTACCCAGTGTTGATTGGCGCTTAGGGACTAATTTTTTTTTTTTTTTTTTTTTTGTGACACTGGGAATTGAACTCTGAACTTTTCACACTGAGCTGCATCCTCAACCCCGTTTTACTTTGAGATAGTATCTAAGTTACCCAGGCTGGGCTTGAACTCGTGATCCTACTGTCTCAACCTCCCCAAGTGCTATAATTATGGGTATGTACCACTTCTGTGAATTTGCCCTTTCCTTAAGAAGCCAGACTTTTTCTTAGTCATTTGGGAAACTTATTAACTTGAGAAACCAGGTCCAAACATTGTAAACATAGGGTAAGAACAAAGGGGAATTTCATCAAGAATGAAAAAGGTTAATGACATCCTCTTCCTGTTCCACAACACTTCAGCTGAAATGTTTTAGTGACTGAAAGGCTTGCATCCCCTG